GCGATGGCTGCTGTCCTGTTTGGCACTTGCTGCGCTGATGGAAGTTCCTCCGGGTGTGCCAGCCCATGACAGACGCTCACCAGACCGTCTATAAATATTTCTGGTTGGGAGTTCATTGTGAATCTGGCTGTGATCATCGTTCTGACTGCGACGTTAAACAATTCCTGAAGAGATGGGGGCGCTCTATAAATCCCTCCTGATCAGCCAGATCACATGGACAGGAAGGCTCGTCGCCGTACGAGGGTAAATAAGAGTGGTTGGGCTGGCTTGCTCGGTGACAACTTGGGCACAGGGGTGGGCCGAAACACACATGAAACACTGCCTGCTCAAAGATGCTATTCGGTATGTTGGATTGAGGGGAGGGTAGGTTCTAATTGGTGCTCAACTGTATACGCAACCATACACATCAATCATACATCTGTTACATTGTCTTTTTGTACTTTTGATTAGTTGGTGGACAGACTGCTAACACCTCACAGACAGACTAGAGTAGGACTGAAGTATACTACCATAGCCAGTTCTATCTAGTGCTGCTGTAAGTGAACTAGTCAAAGTGCATCTAGACTATGTAGACAATCTGTGTGAATGTTGTAGACATGCCACTTGATCGGTACAGTAGGGGACTTGCTGGACACAACTATTTATAGAAAACTAAGTGTCGGTCAGACATATGCTGCGGTAGGATTCCACTAGGGGATTCTAGTTCAGATATTGCCTGTCTAACTAATGAGTGGATCAGATCCTGTGGATGATAGAGTGGACAACACTAGACTAACACGTTCAGGAACAAGTAGAATTCTGTACGTGTTCAGGACCCTAGACGAGGAAGAATTAAGACAACTTCGTGCCGAACGCAGAGCCCGTGCTCTCGCAGCGTCGAGAGCAACAGCAAACGCCGCAGCTAGGGAACAGGCTGCCGCAGCAGCTAGGGCAGCAGCCATGACTAGCTCAGCAGCATCCTCTGCGGCTTTGTCAGGGACTAATGGGATGAGTGTGGGAATGCCAACTAGTTCCACAAGTTCCTCGGGCACTTCCGGATCAACGGGTTCTAGACAGTCTACTAGTCAGATGGCGGGCTCGCAGTACAGCCTGCTGACCGCACGTGAGCGGGAACTCAGGGAACTCCAACAGGTCGAAAGGGTCCGCGAAAGGTTAGAAAGAGAACTCAAAGAGACTACTGATAGAGAAAAAGAGATAAAGAATAGAGCTGCCAGGCTTGATACACTAGAGACTGACAAAGCTGAGTTAGAGGGATTGGACGAAACGGGTTTGTCTGACCTTATGAAAGTGTTGAAGAACAACATGTTGTCACTGCACGCGCATGTAGACAGCAGGTTGGACTTCATGCAGAGCACTTTGGACCAGATCCTGGATGTATTAACAAGGCCAGGATTCAGGCCACCAGCACAATCGCCGTTGCCATTAACGGCGATGTCAGGTCCCTTTCCCGTACAAGCTGGCACACAGCCAAGTGGTACGTCTGCAGCAGTCTCACAGACTGTTGCGTCTTCTTCTTCGGGTCCAGTGGTGATTGCTACATCACCACAACAACCTGTTCAGCAATTTGGACAGCCTCAAGGCCAATGGTACCCCGAGACCCCAATGAAACCGCCTCTTGCCTTCTCAAGCGAGAGAAAGGACGAGGAACTCAACACATGGTTGAGGACGGTCCCGGTTTGGGTGAAGGCTAAAAGGACCTTGCCAGAGGATGAGGTGGTAACTGCGGCGTCTTACCAAGAGGGTAAGGCAGCCAAGTGGCTAGATGGTGTAGTTGTGAAGGCCGGGTACGGGCAACGCATGGCGGATTGGGCTAAGTCTTTGACCTTAGACCAATTCATGGAGATGGTAGAATCTCGATGGCATAACCCACAGGAGGCTCAAAGGGCCACTGATGCCATTAACAAACTTGACCAACGCAAGTTCAGGTCAGTTAGGGAGCTTACGACTACCGTGGAGGGCCTGATCCTCGTCCCGGGCATCAACTACAGTGACCAGTTCCTGTTAACAACTTTTGTTAGATGTCTTCCAAAGAACATCAGGAACTTACTGGCCAGTGAGGCACGCACCGAGTACCACTCGTTTGAGACATTGTCTAGGAAGGCCTTAGACTTAAAAGGCAACACTAGGCAATGCTCAACCCACCTCAGGGAACGACTCAAAGAAGAAGAAGAGTCCCCAGGAGTGGAAGAAGAAGGGGGCAAAGTTGATGATGGTTGAGTCAGATGGGACCCAAACTGAAATCGACGAACTCTCTGACCTGGTGGACTATTCAGAGTGTGACGGCGAGGAGGTAGCTGATGGTAGCACCCTCGCCGCGATAGTAAAGACTAAGGCAGGTGGCCAAGGGAAGGGCCAACCTAGGAGTCAAGGGAAGGCCGCCTCCAATCAGTTCAAACAGGCCGAGTGGGTCAAGGCAGGTCTTGACCTGGACGTGTGGCGTGACCGCTGATCGTGTGGCGCTTGTATCAACTGTGGTGAATACGAACACACGCAGTGGAAGTGCCCGAACGCTAAGGTTACGCAAAAGGTTACACCAAAGGTTGGGGCAACTATTTCCCAGGCTTCTAGCTCGGGAAACGCGTAGGGCCAGTGGAAGTGATAGCGGCTTCTACTCAAGATGAAGTGGGAATGATACCCTCCTCACTTCATGA